AGCAAAGATAAACAGTTTTAGGTTTAGAATGACAATAAATAAAATAACAATTAATTTTTTCAGGTAATATTTCGGAGAGAGGAAGGCCAAACTATATGCAAAAAAGTCAGCTCTCTGTCCTTCCATTTCTAGCTAAAAACGTATGTTTTATGTGCATGCGTGCATTTACGTATGTGTATATACTTGTGTGTATATTCATATACAGAGAAATAAAAGCATTTCAAAGTAGTTTCAATTAATTGAAATACATCAGGTGTAATGAGAAAGTTACATAATAACTACTAATTACTAATTGATGAACCTATGTTTCAGTTGAGTCATTATATAAATACTCTGCACAAGAGTCTTCTAGTACAGCTGATCTCACAAAACAATTTAAACTCGTTTTTAGATTCCCATAGTAAAAATAACACTTCTTTATTACAAGGGAAGTAGTATCAGTCAGTAACATTAGTTTAAAAACTTAACTTTAGTATTTCCTGAGTTTTGGAGCATTTGTCCATATGACCTGAATTTCTATTGATGCAGATTTTTTTTTTTTTTAATGCAGAATTCATACTATTACTCATTATTTGCTTCTCCATGTCTGCTAGGCCATTATTTATATTATCTGTGTTATGCGATCTGCAGAGACTCAGCAAGTTAGGCACCTTTATTTTGCTGATGAATAGCAGAGCGGGTTCAGAAAATAATGTATCTTACCTAGGAAGAAAAGGGCTATGTTAGATAGACTTGGTATGTGAAGTGCATTTTCATTATTACACTCCAGTAGCATAAAATACAATTAGTGGTCTTTGTATTTTGTTGAAAATGACCAATAAGAAAAAAGATTATGTTGGACAAGGCAGTAAACATTACTGTTTTGAGAACAGATTTAAAACCTGCGCTCAAATTACATTTGTAGGATTTTGATTACACTACCAGAATTATGATTAGTGTTGAAATACATTTAAACTGAAGAATGACTATTGTGTTAACTAAAGGTTTGGACTGATTATTGTTGCTGATTTTTAAAGTAACCTTAATAGTAGATCATGACAAAAATCCAAACCTTGCATTCAGGCCAAACACTATTGATGTTGTTCATAAGCTTGTCTACAGAAGAATGGACTTTACTGAAGTAAGTAAAACAAGCAGGATTAGCCTTTTTGTGGAAATAACAACATATTTGTTGTACTGTGGAGCACTTAAATTTTAGTCATACTTGATTATAAAAGCAGCTAATCAAAAAGTTTGTCTATCATCTGCCCAGCCACCTAGTCTGTGTCTAACTACAGTCGTGATGGCTATCAATAATTCTCAGGAGTTTATAACCGGTTAATGTGACCGAGTTAACAGGTGGCCAGGAGTCATGAAGTTCTGTTTTGAGCGTTCTGACAGATAAAGACAAGTCAGATAAAAGAATATGCTCCATCAAGAAAATGGGTATTTTACTAAGAATCATTATCTTTTACCACCGTGATTAGAAAGCGGCATGACATCTCATCAGACATGATCCTGGAACCATTGTTCAAGACAGTGTGGGGTTCCAAATCTACAGTCCATGCATTGCCTCAAAGACATTCCTTGGCCTTTCAACAATAAATAAAAGCAGGTGAATCAATTTTTCTTTTTTCTTCAGTTATGTATAAACTTCCAGTGGACTTTAGCAGACAAGTGATTACCCATGAAAATTACAAAGTATTTTAATGACACTGATTTTTGAGTGCTTGTTAACACTAGAAAATTATACTGGATTGCCACACACTACTAATTATAAAAGCTATTTTTAAAACAATGCTACCTGTGACCCTGCCTATTCCAGAAATGAAGATCACATTACAAGGACAAGAAACCACTTTCAGCTGTTTCTGAATAACTCCATCAGTAAACAAGCCCTTTTAGCCTATCTTCTACTTTGACAGATTGTCCAAGATACATATTTGGTCGACAAAAACAAAATGTTCTTTCTAAAAAAGTCACGGCCAACAAACACAATGTAACTTCTAAACAACTGCCTAGTTTCCTGTCTCTGTCTCTCTCCTCCTCCCAGCCAAAATAAACAGATTCAGCTTGCAAGATGCTGGCCAGTAATGAAAGACACTGCACAACCATCACACCCACTGCCTCAGGGGGAGATAAGAGCACGCAGGTTTTTGCAAGACCATGCTCAAACTATGGATATACAACTCAAAAACCTAGATGGAGGCAACAAAGTATGTGAAGAGTATTTATAATTCCTAATGAGGTCCCAATTTCTAACCTGCCAAGAGTACGCTGAAGAAACAGTAAAACAGTGGTTTCCAAAACCACCTGGGTGAAGATTATTTCCTGGAGGGGAAGCAGTCAAACAGACAGTATTTTCACAGGAATATCTTACAATTGTGTTACACAGCAGCTTATGAGAAAGTTTGAAAGTGGTTGGCAGGAATATTGTGTTATTATTCCCACAGGAACCAGAGCCGTTATTGTGCCACTGGTCTGCTTCACTACCGTATGTGTTTTACACTTATTAACTCTCATGGTGCCCCTCAACATCAAATTTACACCAACCCTGAATGTTACCAAATCAATTTATGTATATAAATTACTTTAGATAAGCCTACTGTTAATGTGCTGGAAACCTCCTATAAGTGGTCTCACACAATATTTCTTGCTGCATTCTACAGTGCTGCTGTTGTATATTTTCCCCCTCTAACATAAAGTATAATGTGATATCCACACCTTACATGTATATCAAAAAGTCTACTGTTTCCAACAAGTAGATTGCACCTTTTCAAATTCAGATACAAAATAAGTAAAAGGGGTAAGGCAATAAATAATAAATGTTGCAAACACCATTAAAAAAGAGCACCATGATTGTAATTAGCGTACAACAAGAATTTACTGCTCATTTTCCATTTGACTAACAGTCCTAACTCTATAGCTTAGCATGAAGAACACATGAGTAGAAAAGGGAGAGAGGCAGCTTATTAGAGACCTTCTTTAAATTCAGAAGATGGGTTATCATGTACAGATACTTAGCCTTATAAAACAAGCATGGTCAAAATTACTGAGCTTGAATACCTGAAGTGGGATATTCAGACTCTGCTGTGGCTTCAGTGCCTTAAGAAACTTCCAAGAATATGTCCAAGGAAAACCTTGTCGTTAGCTTCATTTGGCTTAGGAAAGAGCCAGAACTAAGATGTCATTGCCTTATTCAAGCCAGATGAACTGAGACAAATGGGACAACTGAAAGTTCTTATGGTAGACAGAATTTCAAAATAAGACCGAGCAAGTGTAATAGAAACTGAAAACTTGGGACCTTGAACCCACATCTCTATTTTTCTGAGAGACATGGTCAAGTTTTAAACACAAAAACTTAGATTTAAAGGTAGTTTTACAATATTTACTATTAAGACTATTGTTTTCATAACTATTTTTGTATTTTAATAGAAAAAGTTTGCTGCTGACTCAGGTTTTATTTCATGTATTTAAACATAACCCTGTGATATTTTGCAGCTAGAAACATTGCAGTCATGCCAATGCACAAGGGGAACTAGAAAACGCAACCCACTAAAAAACAAACCTGAAATCCTTTCATTCAGTAACCAGCAAAATGAAACGCCAAAGCAAACAAACAGCATCAATGGTGAAAATACATGAAAACATTAAATACTAAATTGGCTTATGCTTTAGTTGTCTGAGGTATCATGAGCAACACAGATAAGGGGTTTTTTTAAGAATATATGACTTTAATTGACCTTGTCCCTTTAATGATAAATTTACAATGAAAATGACACATCCACTGTAATTTTGAAATACAACATAGCTACCACCACCAATTTGCTGCAAATGCCCTTGCATTATATTTGTTTGTGGCAGAGGACTAAGTTCGACAAAAATAAATTCTTATACACATTTACCCTTGTGGGATTAACAGCAAGATTAAATATTTCAAATTAAATAAATTAAGATAAAAATCATATAAAATAATACAAACATTCCTCTTGGATTTCCCCAAGCAAGATTTTCCTCAGCATACTGTCTAATACACCAACCTTCACAAAAAAAGGAAAGAAACGAGATCTGTTTATTGAGAATGAGGCAAAATGATGTAATGGACGTTGGCCTGGTATTTTACCTCTTGTCGACTGGGGTAATAACTTTCCCTAGCCTCCAGTATCGATGTCAGTCCACCCCCAGAACTCTGAGGCCATTTGTATGGGGAAGAGCACACATGGCTAACAAATGCACGGCAGCCGTGCAACTTCTGGTCCATTTGCTGAGCCTCTGAGGCCCCTCTCCCAAAGGCTGTCAAAGACGCTAGTGGCAACACCTCCGATACTTGCCACAGACAGGTCAAGTGGAGATGGTTTTATTTAATTTAGAAGAGGACGAGTTTGCTCCGCCATCTCTCCATGCTCCCACAGTGTGTACTCAAGCATTAGTGGACAAATACATCAAATAAATATCAGATAAAAGCACCCAAAATACGCTCGGTAATGCAAACAAAGGATATATTTTAGGGTATGATGAGAGAAGATACTCAAAGCCTCCATTGTTGCTTCTAGAAATGTCAGGACAATTCAGAAATGTCAGTTCCTTTGCCGGTTTCCAGACTGTAATTGACGGATCATGTAGCTCTCGCTCTTTCTCTCTCTTTCTCTCTAAATAGGTCTATAAAGATCAGCTGGAAAGTGCAGACAGAATTGGTCACTGGTTAGCTTTACTTAGAGCTACAGGGTATATATGTGCTTTGTTTCATCTTATTGATCAATCTAGCTTACATTTTTAGCACACACAAACAAAAATCAGGAAAAAGAAAAAGTCGATGAAAAACACGAACAACACAAAACAAATAAGATTCCAATCGTGCAAATTTTGCTTCACTGGATAAAGCACTTCTTGACACAGTAATGTCCAGAATCCCCCTCCCCCAGAAAAATACAGGACTGAGACCAAAGCCATTCTTTTTTTTTTTTCTTTTTTTTTTCTTTTTTTTTTTTTTTTTTTTTCTTTAGGTTTTTTTTTTTTTTTCGTTTTTCCTTAAGGCTATACAACACAAAGAAATAAAGCATGGAAAGAACACCTCATTGGGCTGAACATTTCATTCTTCTGGCTCTGGAGTGAGCCTTTGACAAAGCAATTGTATGGTCCGAGTCACTTGTCTCACTGGGACAACAACAAGAGAAAGAAAAAGAGGAAAAAATGAAAGAGAGGAAAAAAAAATAAAAAGTCAATGATCCCGACAATAAAATCCAAAATTGACTTTACAATCACAGGTACAAATTGCTCAGGTCGATAATTTCATTTCTCCTAAAGATCATTGTCGTCTAAAACTAATTAGAAGCGCAGGTTCCCGAGGAATTGTCAATATTCAAAGCAAATGTTGGGGTTTAGAAGGTTATCATTCTTCTACCGTGACAGTCTGGCAGGGTGACTGGAAATATTGTTGTGTGCTGCCAAGTTCAGGGTGTCGTTAACGATTGAATCCTTGCTCCAGCTGATGGATCTGTCTCCCATTTGGCCTTCTTTTATAGTGGAAAAACTAAGAAGCCGGAAAAGGTCGAATATTTCCACCCTCCCATGAGGTTACCCCTTTCCAGTTTGAGATGCACTTTGTCTTCTCTTTCCATGTGGAGCAAGACCCCGTTGCTGGCTGCTTCTCTGGTGACATCCTGATCCCCTGCAAAAGCTGAAATCACTGGGTAGCCGTTTTGCATTAAACTTACCTAAAAAGTGCAAAGAGAGAGAATCTGAGTTTTCTCAACACTCTCAATGACTTTTTTTTTGCCCTGCGCACGTCACTAAACTTTTGTGCAGATTAGAAACAGGGTTGAATTAAGCTAAGGCAATGCGTGATGTCTGTCACGCATACAGACACCTTTAGCTGAAATAACTAAGTCTCATTCATCCCTTGCTGTTTTTGTAAATGCATCTTAGTATCTAGATGAAATCAGCATGTGAAAAAATAAGGAAATACAGCGTTTTCTTTAGATCACAACCCACCTGGATGGTTTGTCTGTTATAGACCTTGACCACGTGGAAACTGAAACTATATATCCCTTTTCTTGGTGCTACAAATATACTGGAAGCAAGATCAAAATGGTTGCCAATATTAACTAATACCTGGAAAGTAAAGAAACAAACAAAACAAAACAAAACAAACAAAAGGAGAGAAAGAGAGAAAGGGAGAAATCAGACCCCACCTTAGGAAAACGCCAGTCAAAATCTGACACAAGCTCCATGACCGATACAAAGCCTAGTCGAAATGGCATTTGCAGCATAATTAAAAGTGCACTTCGGGGGTAAGGAGCCGAGTTACAGAGGCATTTAAAAAGCCTCACAGTTCATAAAACGATTCAGTTACGTGAAAATGATCCCCGAGGCCTGTGAGGTGAAGTGCAAACGCCCACATCGCATTGCCAATACAGCCAAGGCGCCACAAGCA